CCTGATCATTTGCCACATAGGTAGCGTAGATGGATTTGTTCCTGAAGCATTGTGGGCATTTGAATCCAAAAAAACTGGAGACTATCACGAAGAAATGGATGGTAACCCATTTGAAAATTGGTTCAAAAAAATTTTGCCGACACTTGATGATAACGCAATTATTGTGATGGATAATGCCCCGTACCACTCCAGAAAATTGGAAAAAATTCCAACAATGGCCACCAAAAAGGCAGACATTCAACAGTGGCTTGTCTCAAAGAAGATTGACTTTGACCAAACAATGGTCAAAGCTGAGCTGATAAATATAGTCAAGCGACATAAGTATAAATATGATTTAAAAATTGTTGACGAAATGGCCAAAAACCAAAATAAAACGATTCTCAGGCTGCCTCCCTATCACTGCGAACTGAATCCTATCGAGTTGATTTGGGCCGACATCAAGCAATACGTGGCGTCAAATAACAGCACTTTTAAGTTTTCTGACCTTAAAAAACTGTTTGATGTTGCTGTCGATAGAATTACGCCAGCTAAATGGAGAACATGTATTGACCATGTCCAAGAGAAGGTTGAAACCAAAATGTGGGATATGGACAATATCATTGACAGCCAAGTTGAACCCCTTATAATTGACATCAACAATTCTGATGATTCAAGCTCCTCGGAATACAGCATATAAATCGATTGATACCATTAAGACTGGCAGTTTAACGGGCTTTTTGGCAAGACAGGTAAGTTCATTATAGACTGCAATCAAAGTGTAAGTTTCTAGTTATTAATGTGGAAATTCCAAATTTATAATTACACAAGATTAGGGTTAATTTAGGAGTTCCAAAGCATAATAGTGCCATTTTGACCTTCTTCCCATTTCTCATGTAAATTTTAATAGCAATCAAACTAACAAACTTTATGGAGTCTGTAATAAACTTTTGTACTACTACTACTACGTCTGTAGTTTCTATTTGCTCAAAAAAATTTGCTCTGCATTGTGAATAGAAGGTTGATTTGTAAATATTATTGGGTATATATGTAAGTTAATAATAAAATATGAACAATTTCAATTGAGATGGTCCACAAGTTTTTTTCGTGTGCGTTTTAGTAACATTTTGCTGAAATGGTGAATACAGAATTTTTTGCACTGATTCCTAATGTCGAAATATGATTAGAAAGGCGTGGTATATTCCTGATAATTTACTATGCTTTTGATAGAATTTACAGCAACACATATCTTGTACGACATTTTTTGATAGATCAGTCACAATAGCCCTGTAGCGTCTCCTACGGTTAAATTCTTGATCACGTGCAATACGGGTGTATATGTTTGATTTTACTTTGTTTCTTCGATGGATACAGTTTAGTTTAGACAGCTACCAGTAAAACGACAGTTCCGGCTTTCTGCCATAGGTAGCGCCGGTGAGCTATTTGACCAATAATGCACGTAGTACCTGTTTTGCAGTCGCTTTATGATTGCGGCTATTTACGTAAGGCGTATTCATGTTGAACATTTATTATCCGACTGCCACAGAAGGAAGAACATGTTTTTCGCGCGTGAGTATGGATGTAGTCGGGCTACAGGCCAAACGACATGATGAATTTTGACATATGAGATGTTGTTGGATCTGTCTCAGCAGTGCCAGTATCTCTGGCTGTATTGAAATTTTATAAAAGCAGAATCGCGGATTCTAGTAAAAAATGCAACCTTGAAATTCACATTTCACGGATTATAGCTGAAACGGCTAAATTCAACCTTGAGTTCCTATTTGACATACAGCTTGATGAATTTTATCAGATGTGTCTAGATTTATCTTGATAACCCGAGTGACAACGAGAACATCAAAAGTTTACTGTACTATTTTCAGCAGTAACGGTTGGTTGTGCTTCAAAAGCTATATATACATTTGTGTTAGAATGAAACTTTTTTTTTGGTAGGCTGTGATGAGCAGTCCTAACTTGACGTACTTTTCTCCGCAAGTGATATATCGATTGGGGCCGTTTGACACTTTTATAAAATGTTCGATGTCCTAATAATAAAATTGGGTAATAAGTTGGACTTGCACATTTTTGTGGCTTGAATATTTTGCAACTTGGCGTTCGGTTTCGGGAGTAAGACTCAGTCCAATGGTGAACGAATGATTTACAATTTCCCTTGACCTACTGTTTAGCGTAGAGACGGCTTTGCTATTCGGTATGCTTTACAGTTTGTTTTCTTCTGTATCACAATCTATGTTCATCTATTCTGTTTTAATATTACTTTCACTTTTTGGGTGTCGTCCTTTGCCATAAATAGATTCAAACAGCAACTTAAGTAAAATCCATATTCCTCACCACAATCATTACCTTGGAGTCGCTGGAATCAAAAGCGTTGGTGCTAGGAAATATACATTGCAGTAGAGGACATACACGAATCTGAGCGGTGTACCTGTATAGTCTCTTCAAACAGCCCATTCTAATACAACCCAGCTTTAAGCACTTGTAACCACCGAACCCGGTTTCAGGAATCTGATTCGATACCACCAGAATCGGAAACGAAATAATCGTAATCAGAGTTGAAACCATTTCTTTTGGATGATCGGAATCGATTACTTCAATTTCCTCTGCGGTATTGTACCTTTGGAATCGACCCAGCTCTAGATTTGAGATGAAAAAATAACCCAGGCGGCAAACTGTCACCGATGTCCCACGTTTCGTATGCTTTTAGAATATCCCATATATTGCGCTCAAGACCTATACCTATGTATGGCGGTTATTAGTGACCTTGGCGAATTTGCATGGCTGTGAGATGCAGAAAGAAGAGAAGAGGAGAACCTTCGTTCGTCCTTCAACTTTCCGACGTCGTCGGCGCACCGGCCGTCGGGGCCTCCCAGAACCAGCCGCAGCCGGCAAACGGCAAACCAATCATAGTCAGCTTACTCTTCGGGCACTCAGACTACTAGCACTGGCCCGCTTGCAATGCTGCTACGATACAGGATGCAGGCCTACAGAATACATTCTGCTACGCTTTAGATCTCTGCATGCAATTTAGGCCGACCTCGTTGCCATAAAATCTCATCTATAAGTGTGGCTACGCACGCTTTTTATTTTTGATGCTACGGAACTTGCACTCTTGTTCCGAAAGTCTCTCAATTGACTTAGAATCTGCAACTCCGGTATCTACACCAAAGCCTTTAAGTGGAGATTCGAAAAACACCAAGCAATCACCGTTAGCGCCAAACGAGTGAACAGAGTGTCAGCTTGTCCGAAGAAGTTATTTAATTCACTAAAAGGTCAATAAGATTATCTGGATATTACCCAACACAAATAGTCAAACAAACTTTGAACGGCAGCACTCGACCTGGATACCAAAATTTACCTTCTATTTATCTGTGTTTCTATTTTGTCCTTAGCTCCGACGTCGACTGGAGTGGAGTCTGGAGGTTAGTAATAACGAACTAATAATAAGCACTATTGTCTTGGACGAAGGGATACATAGGAAGTTTGCTAAGGTTTGAAAGGAAAGAGACAACTGCAGGTAGTCTAGAAGGTCAGGGATAAAAATCATATAGAAAAAAATAACAGAGATGAAATGAGATACCATGGCCGTCATCTATAAGAATTTGCCACAGCCTCGTTTCTCCTCTCTGAACTAATTAGACATTTACCTGAAATGTTCTGTGTCTTATATATGGTACTGGAACCAACTATATGTATAAGCATTAGTCAAACACGTCATGCTTAGTTTAACATTGGAAAATTCTTGACCACGGTATTCTAGAGGTCAGCTTTCAATCATAATTGAACAAACTCACTCGGAGTGTAAAATTCGGTATTACAGACACGGTGACTTCTTGCAAAAGTCATCTGTAAAAAGCAGACAAGCCGGCGTCTACCTAGGGACACATATAACAAAGCGATTCGCAATGCCTAGGACTAGCACGGTGCACAAATTATTTACAGGGTTATATCGAAGAACAATATCAGAGTAGCCTTCCAATGCTTACGTGTTGAGATGGAATGATTGAATGATTGTAATTGAATCAAAGGCAAAAACGGAAGTTTTCGATCTTTGTGAGTAATCCGAATGATTGTATAATAATAAAAATTCTTCCTTTCAAGCGCGATAATGCAAAATATCAGGCTGTTGTTCAAGTAGACAGAACCTCATATGTGAATATACTGAAGGCAGGCAATGTATTCATTGGTTTAGACTGCTGTAGAATTTTTGATGCTGTGCAAGTATCTCGTTGTTTCAACTGCAATGGATTTAATCATTCTTCTAAATTATGTAAGAAAAATTGGTCCTCTTACTTACAAGCTTGTAGCAAGTTGCGAGCCGATCTGTTAACTATAAAATAGCAACCAATTGCCTCTGACTCTAGTTCTTGCACCTTGGAACCCACAACTTCTTCAAAAAACTCTCCAGAGCTCTCTGTTTATTATCAAAATGTAAGAGGCCTGATAACTAAAACTTCTGCTTTCTACAACGGCACGTGTGCAGCTGATTTTGATTGCTATGCCCTATCTGAGACCTGGTTGGACTTTTCAGTTAATAATTCTGAATTATTTAACCAGAACTACAATGTGTACAGAAAAGATAGAAATTTTTCTCTTGTCAACAAAACACGTGGAGGTGGCGTACTTTTGGCAATCACGGATAAATTTTTCTCAGTCTGTTTAGATGTGCAATGTAACTTACCCGCTGTGAATATTCTTGGAGTAAAAACTGTATTTGGGAAAACAAGTTTATGCATTTCGGTGTTGTATATCCCACCTACGGAACCTCTTTCTACATATGAAACTGTTTTTGAATTAATCTGTGCAATTGATTCCTTGCATGATGCCAATATTTTGATTCTGGGTGATTTTAATATTTCTAGTTATCTGTCATATGTGCTAAGTGGTGAGGAATCTACTGTGGTTAGTAGTTTGCTTAACTTTTGCATCTTTTATTCTCTTGAGCAATATAATTACGTTTTCAATTCTAACATGAGACTTTTAGATATTGTTTTATGAAATTTCATGTGTAGTGTTGATAAATGCAGCGATCCCATACTGATGGAGGATCAGCATCACCCGGCGGAAGTTGTCTCCATTAATGAATTGCTTCCCAAGCAAGAAATTCAATTTGACAGAATGCTGCCTAATTCTTTCAACTTCAGAAAATCTAATATCTCTTTATTATATGATCAACTATTCTGCACCAATTGGAACTTTCTCGATAGCATTCATGATGTTGAGGAAGCATGTGAACAATTTTATGCTGCGTTGAACGTAATTTTTTCTTTTTGTGTCCCAAAGTACTCCACTACCAGATGTCGTAGACAATTCCCGCCTTGGTTTAATGGTATCATAATAAAGGATATCAGAACTAAGGAGATATTGTTTAGGAGGTTAAAGTTAAATTCTGATGAAATGACCTTACATGATTACAAAGCTTTGAGACTCAAAATTAAAAAATATATAGATATTGCTTATAAAGACTATGTAAAAAAAACTGAAGATGATATAAAGCGAGACCCGTCAAAGTTTTGGTCATTTGTCAACAGCAGAAGTCATGGCTCTATACCTAAGAATATGACTTATAACGGTTTGGATATAAGTGAGCCTCAAGAAATTCTAAACAGCTTTGCTGACTTTTTCAGTAAATCTTTTATTGCCAGCTCAAGTGGCAAAACCAACTCCACTCAGTCAACTGGAAGTAGTCCTTTAACAGTGACTGAATTTAATGTGAATGTGGTTTATGATGCATTGAGAAGACTAAAGCCTAAATTAACTTCTGGTCCAGATGGCATTCCGGCTTTTATATTGAAAGACTGTATTTGCGAAGACGTTCGCAACGATATTCAACTTATCGCTGCAAAATGGTAAATATCCATCATCCTGGAAAGTGTCAAAAGTTTGTCCTGTTTTCAAAAATAAGGGTAACAAGAGCGATATTGAGAATTATAGACAAATCACGATAATTAACAACTTTTCAAAAGTTTTTGAGTTTCTTGTATATGATGCAGTTTACTGGCATGTGCATAATACTTTATCAACTCAACAGCATGGCTTCATGAAAAAACGATCAACTGTGACAAACTTATTCTGCACTGCTCAGTATATATCTGGAAATATAGATTCTCGAACTCAAGTGGACGTCATTTATACTGATTTCTCAATGGCCTTTGACCAAGAAGATCACGGCATTCTTCTTGACAATTTAGCTGACTTTGGTGTCATTGGCCATCTTCTCCTGCTTGTTAAATCTTATTTGTCAAATAGAGCATCTTTTGTTTCGCACAAAAGCTTTAAATCTAACACTTATAAAATTGCATCAGATGTTCCCCAGGGGTCTGTTCTGGGACCTTTATTTTTCATTATTTTTATAAATGACATTGAACTACAATTGGATGTCACTTTTCTTTCATATGCGGATGACCTGAAGCTTCTCTGTCCCATTGAATCTCTAACTGACTGTGAAAAGTTACAGCATAACGTAAACATGCTCAACTGCTGGAGTCAGGAAAATAGTTTGCCATTGAATGCTGAGAAGTGCAATGTGGTCAGTTATACGAACAAGACACAGTCGATCATATTTGGCTATGATATTGGTGGTGTGCCCCTTAATCGATTGCATGAAATAAAGGATTTAGGTGTCATTTTCAACAGTAAATATTGCTTCAATGGTTATATGGATTCAATTATTGCAGAGAGTTACAAAAAGCTGGGCTTCATCATACACTGTGGTTGCGAGTTGCAGGATATTAAAACAATTAAGCTTCTATATAACTCACTTGTAAGATCGAAGCTTGAATATGCGACAATTATTTGGCAGCCCTCCTACTGCTTCTGGATAGTCAAACTCGAAAATATCCAATGGCGTTTTTTGAAGTACCTTTACTTTAAGGAAAATAGCATCTACCCACCGATTGGCTATCCACAAGAGTCTTTAGAAGAAGCTTTCGATTTTCAAAGTCTTAGGGAGACGCGTGATAAGTGCAGTGTTAAGTTCGTGACTGATATATTGCACAATCTTATTGATTGTTGCAATATATTGCATGATTTTAATTCCCTTGTCCCGCGTTTGAATGCTAGACAATGCAATACCTTCTATTTGCCTACCCCTAGAACAAATATTTTAAAGGTTTCTCCATTGTATTGCTCATGTGGTAAAGCGAATGACATTGCGGATCAATTAGATATATTTCTCTGATGTCTTGTCTGCTGCGTGGTTCCTTATATGCCTTGTCTGCTATTTGCTATTTAATTTTTTATCTACACTGCCATTTTTGTAAATATTTGTATACTAAGTGACATATAAATCCGAACACCCAGTTTAAATGGTTTTATTTTAATAAAAGTTGGTGAATGTATTTATCTTGCTGTAAATAACAAGTGAAAAAATTGTCAGCCTTATCAGTTGGACATTCCGGTTTTTATACTGCTTTTTTTAATTCACTAACGCTCTAAAAATGAATATTTCAGCCGCAGTAAAGAATCAACGTTGGCGGATTTTGGTTCTTGACATCCTTTACGATCGGTTACGATGCCTAGAGTACGGAGACCTGTACGATTTCGTCAACTTAGTGAGTTTGATAGGGGCCGTATAGTGGGACTTCGGGAAGCTGGACTTTCTTTTCGGGCAATTGCAGTTAGAGTGCAAAGAAGTGTAGACACTGTGGTTAGGTGTTGTCAGGCATGGCTTCGAGAAGGCCGTTAAGCAAAGAGCAAGGGGCACTGGACGCCGCCGTAGAACAACAGACCGTGAAGATCGCCGCCTAAGATTATTGGCCTTAAGGGACCGTTTCTCCACTACCAGGTCCATTGCAAATGAATGGTTTGCAGAACACGGAAGACCTATCGGCATGCGAAGTGTTTACCGACGAATGAGAAGTTTTGGCTTGTTTTCATACCGGCCACACTAGGTCCTCCCTTTAACTCGAGAACACCGACGTAATCGCCTTGAGTGGTGCAGACAACGGTCACTCTGGGATCAGGAATGGAACAGTATTGTCTTTAGTGACGAGTCTCGATTTTGTTTAGGCATGCACGATGGTCGTGCCAGGGTTAGAAGGCGACGTAGTGAAAGGAGAAATCCTCGGTTTTTTGTTGAAAGACATGTTCATCACACTGTTGGAGTTATGGTTTGGGGTGCTATAGCTTATGGTTTCAGGTCACCTTTAATATTCATCAGAGGTAACATGAACGCGCAGCGTTATATCCACGAAGTTCTAGAACCCCATCTTTTACCCTATCTTGACACCCTGGCAGATCCAACTTTCCAACAAGATAATGCTCGACCACATGTTGCAAGAGTCACAATAGACTTCTTTCAACATAATGATGTCACATCGTTACCATGGCCATCAAGATCTCCCGACTTATCCCCAATTGAGCACGTGTGGGATATGATGGGTAGGAGATTGCTCAATTTGCAACGTCCTCCTCAGACTCTAGAAGCACTTCGAGAGGAGTTGGTGGTTGCCTGGAATGAGATACCACAGGAGGACATTGACCACCTGATCAGAAGCATGCCTAGGCAAGTTGGAGAATGCGTAGCACATCAGGGTGCATCCACACATTATTAAAGGTCAAAGGGCTTTAAAGCAGTGCAATCATTTTGAAATTTTTATCATTTACTTATTATGCTTCATGAAGTACTTATACAAAATTAAAATAAAACCATTTAAACTGGGTGTTCGGATTTATATGTCACTTAGTATATATAGTATCCTTGTGATTTGGCTTTGTAGCTGTTGGGTAGAGCATAAATAAATAAATAAAATAAAAAACTCTACCATGCAAGTGCCCCCCCCCCCCAACGCCCGAGTTTCATCGCTTTCAAGGGTTCAATACGTTATGTGGGAAGTAACATTTAGTAATCATAAGACAGGTACTATTCTTGCTTGACATCAACAAAGCTTCTAGTCCTGACCTTATTCTTGCTGGTCTACTGAATAAGTGTGCAGCAAAGCTTGCTGCAGTGTATTCTCGTCTCTTTCAGATATCTTACGAATCCAGTACTTTTCGAAGCAATTGGAAACTTCCTCATGTCCAACATATCCCTATAAAGTATCTAAGACCAACCCTTACAATTACATACCTTCTGTTATCAGCAAAGCGATGAGAAGTGCATTAATCTGGAGCTGCTGGCGTATCTCGAACATCACGGCTTGATTAGCATAAGGCCCGTTGTCCACACTCGATTCTGTCGGTAACACTTCTGTAGCGGACGGTCTCGGTACACTTTTGCCGCTATGTCAACGAGTTTTGCTCCTCAGAGCTCTCCTCCATGATGCCGCCGCGCAATGAGCCTGTCAGGTAGACACCCCAGACTTTAGCCCCCCATCCTAACCGTGTCAAACTTCGTACATGCAGAACTGGCCGGTACGACCACTCCTTGGTTTCCAGGGTGTCGATATTGTGGAACAGTCTGCCTGAGAACGTTTTTTCCCAATTCTACTAACCTCAAGCAGGTTTAAGGTTTAACAATCAGATTAACAAGATATCTCTAACACTCTTATAGCAGTCGCGGTGCCGCAGTATTAAGGCTTCTGCGTACGTGGCTGCTTCGGTACATAAAAAAGTGTATATCGTTAACCTTCTGCATTCATTGCGAGCAATCTAACATAAATGACTGCTTTGTTCTCTATGTTGGATTGCGTGAAAATATATAAAATGTTGTCTTTGGAAATCATTTGCCCCTAAAGTCATTTTTTTTCAATCAGATCATCACAATAAATTTATGAACCACCCTTAACAAGTACTTCTCCTGTCTGTCTTTGCGGCCTACCCCACCTTTGAAGAACTAATCGGAAACGCACAGGTGCATACCATCCCCTTGCCACTGCACACAGACATTTACCCTTCATCAACCCTTCTTTAGTAAAGACGAGAACAAAGAAAAATCTCCGGATCTCCTTGTACTCGTATCTCCTGAGTGCAAGTGCGACAAGCTGCACTCAAAAATGACACTTCCCCCATCGATTCTTTTCGAGCTTAAGCGGAGCTTCCAGAAGGTGTCGGCCGGTCGTCTTCTCTGGAAACTGTATCTTCGTTAAAGAGGGAAGCAGTTTCACCGTACATAATTGCAAAATTTTCCAAGTTTGAATGAAAAGTTTCTTACTTCTAATTAAAAAAACAATTTGTTCGATCTGCCTATTTCTGTCTGTCAATTAGTGTATCAGTAATTTTTGCAACAGCTGATTCAATTTTGATGGACATGTTGAAGAAGCGTGAACATTCCAAAAGTTCCTTTCCATGCTTTTAAAATAGTCCAATCAGGTCTGAGCGTATTTAAAGAACCTTTTACGTCTTTAATGACTTTATAAATTTCTGGATTGTCTGATTGTTTCCAAGACACCCTTTTGGCGGTTAAAAAATCTTTTATAAGATCTCATTCATAAATTCCTTTTTCGCTGTTTTCTTAATTAAATTATTTCTGCATTCTTCAAAATCGATTTATTAGAAACTGTATCATTAGTTAGATTTGACAAGTGTACTTGAAGTAAATAATGACTGACTACTATTTGACTATAGAAAACTTTTTTGTCACACGGACCGGCGTGTCAGTTACTCTCGCGACTGTCAGTCATTAGTTCTTTGTTAAATATAGTAGGTTTTTTCTGACGCGGAGTAAGTCGAAATAATTAAAATATTTGCATCCTTGAGTTTCTAAAGCCGCGTTCTCGTTAGTCAATTTTATTGATCAATAATAAAGAATCTATGCCATGGAACATAAAATGAATGGTAAATTTGATCAGACTATGCAAATCGACAGAGCAATATGTTTGAACGGATGTTCCCATTAGACTATTTCACTCCAATGGCATAAATTCATTATAATTAAAAAAAATGTGGCAGGCTGACTATAGGAAATGTGTAGCAATTTTCAAAGATACCTTGAAAGCTTGAACTTTATTTCATGTTCTCTTACCCTTCTATACATGAAAAAGTAATGATATTGCCATATAGCAAACCGTCGTTCGAGGGGTATACTTCTTAAACGCGAAACCGTTCCAGGCTCTACGGCCGGAGCTGCTACTAAAAAATGCGTTTCTAATTATTCATCTCGTGATCGGCAAAGGTTCCTAACCCCTCACACTGCCCCTCTCTGCCATCCATTCGCTTAGCGCGGCGGCGGCTGCAGAGACTGGTTCTTACCAGGAGCGGCGGATTCAACTTTTCACATAAGCAGTCCCGAAAGCATGGCTTGAATATCAGTGTACAATGCTTACTATGAAAAACCCGAGTAGTGGCATATCGATAGAGAATAGTTGATCATAGACTGCCCGTTATAGTTAAAGTAGCTTTAGACGTTTTGTCAAAAAGCGTCTGCTATGGAGATGCTGTGGATGGATCAACAGCATCCCAGATATGTGATTAGTTTTCCAGGCCCTATCTGATCTGCACCGTGTACGGAGTGTAAATATTAAATTGTCTATCTAATGGATCAGCTTCTTCCCAGCAACTGCTGAGACTAACGAGACCTGTGTATCGTCAACAATCCGAACTAAAAAAAGTCGAAAGTAATGACCTTCTCGGAAAGCTCGACCATACATCTAAATCAAACATGCGTTGGGATGCATTTTGTTACTTTAGGTATGGTATTGTATATTCAATGCATTAAGTTCACTAAGACCCAATACCACTAGTCAAGAGTGTGTATGTCAGAAAAGAATTTGCTGCCGATCATGTTTCCTCCAGGAAAGTACTTTGTTTTACTCTGTAATAATTTTAAGCGTTCGTAGCTGATTGACTTACCTGTTACATGCGTTCGGAAATTGAACAAAGTAATCCTTCAGCAACGTCAAAAGTGTGTTTTTCTTCACTAGCTCAAAACCTTGGGAATAAGAGTTCTGTCATTTGTAATTCCCATGGTTCATTGTTTGTTTATTTTATTTGGTTCAAAACTCCTCAAAACTGGCAGAGTATATATTTTTCATTATAAATGCTACCTCGTATCCCTAGGGTGTCTTCTAATAACTACCACGGTCGCATAAAACGTCGGCTGCCATCAAGTGTCATTACATGACTGTAATAATTTAGGCGTCTAAAAATAAAGCCTCACAGTATTGCAAAGAAAAATTTCATCTGTCAATCTACATCCCATTACTATGTACGGTATTACATTGCCAAGTCTTACAAACGTACCCTAGCTCAACCACAAATATCACTCTGGTACACCTGGAAACTGTGGATCGGATTTACCACTAAGGTAGGTGGTGATTATGTCAAACAATTTCGGAGTCAAAAATGATACCTGAGGAACACTCGTGTTGACATTACTGAGGTTGAGGAGAGCCAATTAAATACGATGGGCATCTTACATCTGGAAGGTGAGTCAACCATCCATTGACAATGTCGTTTTGGGAGGCTATGGGGTGAACCTTTGTATTGAAGAGCAGCAATGTGCAAGATATCAAGAGGAATGGCTGAAAGCTTCACAATTATGTAAACTACGGTTAGAAACCCTAGTTTGCTCTTGGAGCTTTTAAACCATACTGTCTGTCTCGCATCAAGCATATTTTGGCGATATTTTCTATCATATAAAAAAATTCCCTAAATATTTTTGTACCAACGGTTCGAGAGGTAAGGAATTCCTTTGCAATGACTCATAACATAGTCTGCTGCGGCGAACGTTTTACCAAATAACCTATTTGGGTGCAAGTACCCCTAACTTTGGAACTACTAGGAGTCTGGAGTGCGTGTTTAAAACGTAAAAGAGTTATAACCGTAGTGATGATCCGATTCCTCTTTTATTTGGTAAACTTTGCAAACGCTATCGACGTCACTTTTGCTGCATCTGTATCGTCATCGTCTCTCCACACCACGTCAGCCGCGTCGCTTAATAAGCGAACGCTAGCTGTTCGTCTGCAGAACCGCGACCTTCTCAAGGGTTTCGAGTTCCTCTCTTGGCAGCGGCAGCCGTGGCTGTATTGGCGGTCACCGCCCCCCGTCCCCCCAGTCGGTCCCCTTCGGGCCCCCAGGCTCCCCTCCATGCCCCCACCGACAGGCCGGGCCGATGCCCAACGACCGTCGAAAACGCACAACAAGCTCGCCATGGCCAACAGACGAGATGCAATTCATAGACCTGATACTTTTCAACACAGAGTGCGGTTTGCACCTCACTGTCTTATATTCAGTGCTGGTCAAAGTCCGAGAGAAACGTGTTCGAAAGACTGCGTCATACAAGCGTCGTCACTACGCTACCTGGCAACGTTAGTGAGGGAGGGCACAGAACCGTTACCACCGAGTGTACAAGGCCAAACAACTGGGCTGTGAAAAGACTGTGACGTCACGCAGAGTAGGCCTATGCATGTTCTTATGGAGTTTCGCGATGCTGGCTGGCAAGAGCGCAGCGCCACCATTTCTCTGCGGTGTTGTCATATCTAGATTTGATATAACAGTATCGAAATCTCTACTAATTAGTTGTACCTCTCTGTGGGCGAATTTGCAAGATGTGCTCGGAGCCTGCACAGCTTCAGTGATGATGTGACTATTCTTTCTGGTCTGCCTCAGTATGTCAAGAATACATTTTCGATATTACGTTCAATCTGTCACTTGTGAAGTCTAATAATTAGAATATGTGGCAACCTTGGTAACACCGCTAACATCCAACAGCCAACTAACCTCAAATTCCGAGCCTCTCTTATGTATCTTTCTGTGCTATGTAAAATGTAAATTATTGATGTTTTAAACTTATATTTGTGTCTCGCGATTGTTTAGCTAAGTTTTCAAAATGCCTTACAAGTGCTGCATTTCTAATTGTGCCGGTAATTACGGGAAGGGTCCGAAGGTACACGTATTTTCGTTTCCATTGATTTAGTGATTTAGTGATCACAGAAAACACCAGAGTATGCAATCTGCACTTCGCTGAGGACAGCATAATTTGGGAATCCACCTTCCATGACGAAAAGACAGGTAGGACCATTACTGTACCCCTTAAGTAACCAAAATAGAAGGCAGATGTAATTCCAAGTATCTTTGCAAATTGTCCAAAATATCTTTCAAAGGACATTGCAAGCACAAGAAGCCGAGATGAGAAATTGAGGGACAAGGAACAAGAACAACTACTTAAAGCAGTGCAAAGTAGCATTGATGATTATTCCTCCAACAAGTTTTTAAAATTATTCAAACTCTCACAGTTTTTAGTTCATGGCAATGTCCATATGGGTGGCATAAAATTGTTCAGGATAAAGTTACTTTGTTTAAGTTAGAATATAAACCAGCACCCACCATAACTCACTTTGTAATTGTTGATAGAGATCTCAATGTAAAAACGTATATGTACTCACACGAATTGTTCTCAACTCAGGTAATATTAAAACTCCATTTTGTGTTGATGTTATGAATGTTCTTTCTGAGAATGCAGATGCTTCGAGGGAATATTTAGGTAAAGACAAGTTCAGAGCCACTAACAACCATGCTCACAATATTTTAAATACCACAGAACTATTCACCGATGAAGAGACCCACACTGTCATTCAATTTATTTGTGAGCAACTAAAGCTTGTTGTTAGTCAGAAGAACAGACACAGTTACTCATCAGAAACAATAGTGTTTTGCTCTATGTTGTATACAATCAGTCCACATTCATATAGATTTATTAGGAGCCATGGAGCACTTATTTTACCACACAAAAATACTCTGAAGTCAATTTGTAATACATTGATGGTCGATCCAGTTCCAGATGTGAGATATAACTTTTTCGGCTATGCAAAGAACACAACTGTTCAAAAAGCACTACATTTTTTATATAATTTTCAAGTACCATTCTATTATGCCTATAATAATAGTAAATTGTCCACATAGTCCTGTGAAATTTTTTGTTGATCGGTAGTGACTAACATGGGGTTACTCATTGAGGAGTTTATCATTTTTAGCAAACTTTTTTAACATCAACTTATTACTCTAATGTGCACGTAATGTTGGATGAAATCTCGGTGAAAATCAGGGTGAAAATAGTCACGCGTCTGTTGTCAGGCCTTTTACTCTCGGTGGTAACGACAGAGCGCAGCTGTAACTTCTCTCCCAGTGTTGTTGCGAGGCAACGTGGCGACGACACTTATATGGCGCACTGTTTCTAACATGTTTCTTTCTCTTCTCTCACTCATACACATGGAAATCTAAAAGGGATCACGACCTTGACCAGCTCGGCGGCTAGTATGTCCCAGAATTTGTGATCAACCTCTTGGAAGCAGAAAACATAAAAAGCAATGTGACAAATCTCTATAACGGAATACCCCAAATGAGCTCCCCTACAGAAGCATAGCCCCTTAGAGCAAAAAATGGTTTTTCTTCAATAGCTCATATGCCGTACTGTATAATCCGATGATCTTTTGAGAGCAATATAATCAAATAACATGATGTTTATTAGCTCGAAATACGTCATCAGGGGAAAACTAGTCATAACGCAATATTACACGCAATATACACCCCAATATGCTATCATATAATATGATGTATGAGTCATATCAACTTGTTTCATGAATCTTGTTTGTCATTAGTGTCGTTACAGAAGATGGAAGACGATTCTCTGATTTTTGAAGCTGTACCAACCCACAGATCGTAAGCCAAGGGTGAAGCCCTGCACCAAAGAGTACAATCACATGTGACTCTCTCATCAATCTGTTAATCTGTTGAAAAGGTAAGCAGTTTACAAGTAGTAATGAGTAGACGACGTGTGGTAACTACATAATACCATCCAACTGGCATTCAAATGTATTGGCGAACTTGTCAGACCTTCGGTCGAGGGCCGTAATGGCCAACTAGTGTCTTCATAAATTTCTCTTCTACTGGACATCTCAGCCCTATTGCTTTGATACATGACACACTTGCATATGAGGTGGAATAATGTTTGATCTTTTTACCAGCATTTGACGAATATGAGATTTTTTTTATATTCCCGTGAACTTGTCGGCCTCTCTACTGTCATACCTGCTTCCACCATTTTCCCATGTATCAATTGTGTCAATGCAGGAACTAAGGTACGCAGTCTTGTTGCCTTTCTGGAATCCTTCTATTCTCAAGCCCCCACCATATTATCTAGGGTCACGTTTTTCACAGGAGCTAAACTTGGAAGGCAATATGTGTTGAATTGACCTATGTTTAAATAATGCTACCTTCAAAACCATTTGAATAAGGTAATATCAAGACTGTTTAACAGTTCTATCTGTCTAGTCACTAAATAAAACCTTCTTTTCGCCAGACGTCGACTGGTTCGGCACGGCGGTCCAGTCTGGCGTGCGATATACTCTTCGAACTTGTTTGCATATTATGCATGCTGGAATTTCGGGTTTCGAGTTTACCAAGTAGAAAAACTCGCGACCAGCCGCGCTCTACCTCGACACCGCAGGATGCACCGCAGACAATATCTTCTACCTCCACTATTCTACCTGCAGCTCTCTCTATATTCCATTAGCAATTCATTTTATTTTGCATTACTATAGTTTCGCCACCCCGTTTATACCGGTATCTTCATTTCGTGACCTAATGGAGGATCAAAGGAGGCTCGTAAGGCAGAAGTATCCATCAAGATCTTGGTGGCCATTTCCCGATATTTGCGCTAGCCATTGATGGCTCATTTTGTTTTGCATGGATGTGGTGTTACTATACCATTTTGGGTGTTGCTGTCTTCACATTCGGAATTGGGTTCTTCCCGTCGGAATCCCTCAACAACAAATCAGCTCCGGAGGCTATTAGGAGGATCCTGAGGTCGCTCAGCAACAATCAAGCATGCAGAACGCTTACAATAGTACTGCTCGAAGTCGTAGTGGAAGTTTGCGACTGGGGCAAGTGATTTTGACAATGCCGTTTCGAGGTTTTATTTTAGTTACGCTCGATACCTAAAGCGTTTCGACACGGGAGGCTCAAAAAGGCAAATAGCACAAAAACTGCTCTTTAAAAGTCCTCTGAATATGCAATTCACATCCAAAACCACGCTTCGATAATATCGGATATCGCTTCTCAACTTTCGAATACGACTTCAAGAAGCATCTAACATCAATACCAGGCGTCCCCATACAGTAAAAGAAAATAAGCTTCAGACTCAAGACCCTAAGAAAGATGTTCAGATCGCTCAACTGCAACAAAGTCCCAATATGCTCCCTGCCGTCACATCAAAGGCTACGTTTTACCAAGTGTAAAGGGCTCATTCAATGTGGAATGTAAAAAAATTTGGAAAAAGCGGCGTTTAAGGTAACGACTTACCTGGACAATAGTCTCGCTCAGGGTCCCCAGACAAAATGAACGGCTCTGCAAAAAGTTCTTTGATCAAACCTCTGGTTAAGGTTACTAAAGATACGATTTGTAACTAAGGCACCTGGTCAGTTGATACAGCTGATACAGAAGAAGGTTGATTGGAGATACTCTCCACTAACTTACCTTCTCCCTCTGATGAATAATGCTCTTATGTCAGGAGAAAATGTATTATTTCCCACATGGAACATCATTTTTGAGGTGTTCTGAATCCACACATGGCTTATGCAAGTGGTTAACTACACTTAATTGCTATTATTACTGAAACAAGCAAGATTTATTGTAACCCCGCCCAATCGCGTAAATAATATCCATTCACCTTCCAATTCCCATTTTCTTTTAAATTGCTTCAACGACATAGTTTGTTTACTAGATAACATTCTACTCAAAGGTACTATAAATAATTTATTGAGTCATAATACTTAATCCAGTAGCGAAGTAACTGCTTTCCTATATCCTCAACAGACATAATAATAATAAGTTAAATATTTTTTTAACTTCGATATTTGATAGTGACATAAAGAAACTCTGAGTACATACAGATGCATCGGAAAAAGCTCAAGGCGTTCCCATTGGACCGGAACTTGTCTGGTCTGTCTCAATTTATGTCGTTTGTTCCTAAGATACAATAATGTGAAATTTATTATTATTTTTTTTATTATTTTAAATCGTGATGCTTTTTGGGCCATCAAATGGAGATTAATCCCGTCCAGCTGCTCTTCACTTGAACTTGACGGAACTGAATTTGCGTAGGTTGTTTTGGGTTTCACCAGCGATCTTTGGACTAAGATCAATATAACCGCTATAAAGGAACCACTTACGTCGTGTTGATCTCATTTTCTTACTAGCCGGATAATAGACCTGCAGAAACGATGTTCTGTCAAGTTAGCGTTCCGCACCCTTATAACGTAACTGCAAAATGACAGAAGTAACGATCTCTTTTCTGGATGTCATAATCGTCACGCTGGAACTATTACACAGTTGATGTTCACTTGTAGTGGATGAGTGGATTTCAAAATTTATATAGTTCAATGTAACAGTCCCTAGATCGATCTCACCTCAAATGCTTGCATATAATAATTACTTTTCTTTCTCGATGCTACTCTCTTTCTTTGTTTCTCCCTCTCACCTTTCCCCTGCAACTTGTCTGGTTTCTGGGCGACTAGACCTGACAGACTAACGACAGTTACTGTCATTACAGTGACTATGACCTAAAGGCTAAGATCGACGACTAGTAGATGTGTTAGCTTACGTCAAGATATTTCAGCAATTTGTGGCTCTGATGTTATGTAACGTCTGAGATGGCACTAAAGGAGGCCATTCGAACCTTCTATGGCCGGAGCTGTGAGTTCTATAACTCGCTGTGCCATTCCTCCATACATGGCATTTACAACAAATGCTGGTGGCGTGGCATATCGACTAGCTAGGACAAGTGTAGCGAAGATCGTAACGTTTCTTTTACATACTACGGGTGCCGAATAGCTATCCATGTACATAGATCAAACGCTTTAGAATGAAAAGCAGAAGTCTGCCTAGAATGCAGCAGCATCAGAGAAAAGAGAAAAGCAAGTCCATTGACATATCGGTAGAAAAGAGCCATTACCGTATGGGTATCATGTATCTTTAAAAGTGACGTTATGTCGATTTTTTTTGACATTATCCTGTTTTTTTTTACATTATGTAGGTTTTTCTACAAGATGTTTACTTAGCACTTAGTTGTACGTGTTGCCTAAGCGTCATGAGGCCTTAGTTATCAATGTTTGACTCTGTTATGTAAAATCTACTGCAGAAATAGCATTACTGGAGGTCTAAGCTGTAAGTTGTATGTGTTGATGATAATTCCATTGGATTGGATTTCCTATCCATTCTGGAAATTACAGCTACAAATTTGGTGAATTTCAAAATGAGAGAGATAAGAAATAATTATATTCACTGAACACTGACGAAGTATAAGCCATGTACATGCTAACAGTAATTACACATAACGCGGGCGCGGTGATGATTTCCCGTAATTCTCCTCAGTTTTTCGTAATTTATAACTTTGAACATAACCTCATTTCAGAAAGCACAACATATAAATAACCCGTCATATTCAGCATATTCAGTAATGATTTTCTCACACAGCAACACAGAGATAAAAACTACAGATACGGACCACTCAGCCTCACAAAACATATGCAACCAATAATGCGTGTAGTTTAGTTGAGTATTCCTCCATAGATGGACGTTCACAACGATCCTAGTGAGCAAACGTGGAATGACTGTTTGCGCCCTAAAAACTACCTGGTCTGCAAGTTGACATCTTATAGGTTTTGTTTGAAGTTGTATAGGTTTTTTACATGATACTCGTGCCGACCGCTCATCAATCTGATAACAGAAGAGAAGATTGTTCAAGAAGTGTCACCGACAATTCCGAGATAAACATTTTGAACTTTATGGAGCAGCAAGTGAGGCAAATCGATGTTGAAAATTACTTCCAACTTCTACACAGATAACCAAGCTTCTTCACAGTTGCTACTACGATTGACGCGACGTGTTGTACCAAGGCATGTCCTCAATGACCTGAACTCCGACAAACCACAGCATATGGCTATCAAAACCGGCACGGGTATTACGTATCTTGAAAAGTGACATTATGTCAATTTTTCTTGATATTGTATTGTTTTTTTGTGACAATATGTAGGTTTTCCTACAAGAACTTAGCACTAGCTGATGGACACGTTGTGAACTCGTTTTGTAGTTGTACGTGTTGTCTAAACCTCATGAGGCTTCAGTTATCAATGTTTGGCCCTCATGTCATGTGACATCTGCACAGAGATGGCATTAAAGTAGGTCTAAGCTTTAAGCTGTATACCATAGCTAGAAGGAAATGGCAATGCATAGCTGCGTAGAAAGGATTTGTGTGGTAATATGTGTTGATGATAATTCCATTGAATTCTTGTCTCAAATACACTTACTTGAGATTCAAAGCTAGAAATTAGTTGCGCATCCACTTTTTCTTTTCCATTCTGAAAATTACATATACAAATTTGGTGAATTTAAAAAATGAGCGAGATAAATAATTATATTCACTTGTATATTGTCGAAGTACAAGCCATATACATGCTAACAGTAATTACATACAACGCGGGTGCTGTGGTGATTTCCCGTAATTCTCCTCAAAGATTTTGAAAACACAAAAAAACATAAAAAATTGTAATTTATAACTTTGAACATAACCTGTCTTCAGAAAGGACAAGATATAAATAACCCGTCGGGCACAGCTTGTAGGTACACTTCATTGACAGCATGTTCAGTAATGATTCTCTCATACAGCAAACATCACTGATCTTACACACATGCAGACGAATACACATATTCATTCAGATGCGATCTTGCTATTCAAAAAACTTTCTTCTCAGGGATGAAAACTACAGACTACTCGGCTTCACAAATCATATGGAACCTACAATGCGAGTAGTTGAGTCATTCCTCTCATAGAGTTTGCACCCTAAAAACTACCTAGCCTGCAAGATGACATTTTACATTTTTTGGGACATTTTATAGGTTTTTTACATAATACCCATGCCAGAAAGGGCGAGTGCAGTTCATAATACTACAACCCCAGGCATTGATAATCTCCAGGTCAGTGAGTCAAACAAATACAATCGGAATGGAAGTAATTCATCTGTCTGCAAAGCAGTAAATAATACTTGTTTTCCATAACCAACCATAACATACAGAAGTTACAATATTCCTTTAATCGTTTATGGATGGTGGTAAACCTGCAGGGGTATGTTAGACTGCCAATGTATCTTACGTCGACAAAAAATACTTACTCATACCCGCATAAGCTACGATAAATGTACTGAACTATTATACGAGGCCTGATAAGTAAAACCTGTTAGAAGTGAATGGAAGCAACGATGTAATATCGTATAAATGCATTTACTGAGTCCGTCCCATCCACCTATTCGAGCTGCAGGATATTGAAAGATATCATAAATAGAAATATTCCCTATCGCGCACGCTGCCTTGTCTTAATTATTTATATAAATCCGAAGAATTATAAACTGCAATTATGTTATTTGGCATAAATATAAAGAGCGTTCTGCTTGACGTGCTGCTACCGGTTAATAGCTGCAGAGAGACGGAAGTCCATGCCACTGCAGCTGATTGGCCAACGAGATATAAACAAATACGTTAGTTAATATTATGTGGATAATAAACTCGTTCCGATAAATGGATGAACGGATATTTGTTATTGCATCTAACTGTGCTAACAGCGAGTTCAACGGTGAACGAAAAGGAGTGCACGTGTCTACTAGAATGGTTCCCAGCTTTTCATATCTGTTATTATGGCTCTTCATATCCGAGTAAATCATTGACTAAAATGTTCTACTTGAAGGAACTGAGTGATCGTAGCGCCAGCAATGAGAAAATAGCAGAACAGAAAAGTGAATCTGGGTATCTAATTTAGAAAGAGTTAGGGTGTTTGGTTCTGCTACTCTCTTATACACGGCGCTATGATCTTCAATCTATTTCTAGCACTATTTTAATTGAGTATCTTGAGGTGGAATACGTCGATCAATGCACTCCAAAGATATCTATTGCTCGAGACGGGAATGGCTTATCTGTTCAAATGATAAAATTATCGTCCCAGCCATCTCTAGTTCCTTGGTTCACGTTTCAAATTGCTGCGTAAAGACAGGATATTTCCCCCAAGTGTCGCTAGTTATGCCACTTCCTAAAGTCAACAATCCCGAGCAAGTTAGTGACTAAAGACCTATCAGCGTTTTACCAGTTCATTCCAAAATATTAGAGAAAATAATTTACAAATAAATTTTCTGTTTCTGCACTATCTGATATAGTTGGTGATGTAATCTCCAAGTTGGATAACAACCTGGCAACAGTTCTTGTCTCTCTCGATTTTAGCAAGGCATTCGATACGAAAGTGTAATTTTATCTTGGATATGATGAGCCGACACTACGTTTCCTAACATCATATCTTCAAGGCAGACAGCAACAGGTGGTTCTGGACACAAGTACTTCAAATTTAAATAATGTTTCTTCAGTGGTACCACAAGGTTCAATTCTAGGGCCCCACTTGATTTAGTCTTCAAAATTAAAAACTCGAGTGTAACTTGTGATGCCGACTCTATTATTGTAAAGCTTTCCCCCTGATGATTTTAAAATGATTGAGGCTAAAATTAATATTGATCTCGAAATTATTAACTATTTTGCTATTAATACCATGAAACTCAATCTTCAAAAATCAAATGTACTATTTTGAAAAACGGAGACATCTAAA